CTCCATCATAGAACTGGGTATCTTTGTTAGAGTGGAAACAATGCTTCTGTATTTCTCAATGCGCCACATTCACTGATTCGTTAGTCGAGTTTTATAATCGGTGCTAACTTTAAGAAAAAGAAGAGCAACGTAATCCCATCGTATACCTAATCAGTGTAATTTAAGTGCCAACTTCTCCACCACTATAAAGTCAATATACGTCATCACAGACAGGAAGAAATATATAACTGTTCGGTAGTCATGTAAACAATTTTTAATCCTCTTCTGAAGGCAATAAAGTAAAGGCCACTGATAGCGCTCTCAGGGTGTTAACCTAGAAAATTTCCAATGATTCAATGCGTGCAGACATGCTTCAATCCCATGAAGTTTGGCATCTTTGAACTGAAGATTTTCCGAGCTTTCACATCTCAAACCTTACCAATTTTACTGACCAGCTAGGTTTTCCACTGGTCCCAATGCCGGATAAAGAGGTGGAGTGGGACGCCAGGCTGGTGGATCTACCTCGGATAATCAATCACACCGCTATGGAAACCTCAATGCACAAGGAAAATATTAAAAATACAAAAAAATGTTCCCTGGAATCCAGGAGATAACGGGAAGCCAGTCTCCTTTCAGGGAAGGCAAAAATAATAATAAATAATATAAATAATAATAATGTACAAAGTTGGGATGCCTGTCAAGGTAACCAAAGAGATGAGAAGATACAGCTATGCACGGTTCTGCAAACAACGCGGAACAAGAGAAGAAGGAAAACTTTCAGATAAGTACAAACAATAATGGACAAGTGGTGACATCGAAATCTCAGTGGGAGGCATGAATGCCAGCTGAACTGGGAGCAGACATTGAGATAAGCGAACTCATCATGGTTCGAGAGTGTCTCGGCGAAATAAATGAGAAAGGGGAACTATTCGCAGACTTCAGCGTTTTCAACGATTTGGTGATCGGCGGCGGTGCACAAGGATAAAAAAAAAGTAACATGCATTCCGCCTGACCAACACACCACAAACCAGATAGATTTCATCTTTATCTCAAGGGAGTAGAGACGCAGTCTGCTGGACGCGAAGTTGAGAAGGGGACAGATGTGGGCATAGACCGTCACCTAGTTCACGGAAACTTCTAGGTGGAGCTAAAATCCGTCAGAACAAATGGAGACAGACCACAATTCAAGTCCAGCATTCAGAAATTGAAAGATAAAACTACAAGAAATGCCTTCAGTTCAGATTAGATCAGAGCAAAGTCGGAGACACTACGTTTTATCACTGAGGAAACCTGTGTGGAAGAACACTGGAACTAACACCCTGAAGGTGATGTTCAAGGGAAACGTGTACTGTTCAAGAAAGATGAGACAAGATAAGGAATGACATTCAATAGACACCTACCTGGTAGCTAACGGGAGAGAGGAGGATGGTGAAGGAGAAGATAACTCAATGCAAAGATGGGCAACAGAAGGAGGAGCTGAGTTCAGCGTACATTGCATTGAACAAAACAGTGGAGAAGATTCCTAGGAAAGACAAAAGACAATTATACGACACACTGGTAAGTGAAGCAGAACAGGCAGGGCGCAGGTAAAACAGACCTAAGGACACCATATGAGAAAACCAGGCTGCTTGCTATCCGGGACGAGACCAACCCAGGTGATGAAACCAATAAAGATGTTCATGGGAATCCGATTACCAAGGAGGAGAAACAAATAAAACAATGGGATGATCTCTTTCAAGTACTATTGAATCGACCATCACCTGCAACTCGTCCGGAAATACCACCAACAGAACGCAGAGAACTGCCTTCTAGTTGACACCAGTCCTTCAACAGAACAGAAATCCTGAATGTGATCGAGCTTCTGAAAACCGACCAGGAAGGCAGCAGGGCAAGACAGAATTCCCCCATTTCGAAGCACTGAAAACGTACCCAACGACTGTGGCACATGTGCTCTCATGGTTTCCTCAAAACGTCTAAAAGAGGGGAAAGGTGTTTACTCATTGGGAGAAAGGTTACCTTTCCTAACTAACAAAAAGGGGCAACAAGTGGCATGGAATAATGCTCTGATATTGACTTCCACAGTGTTGTCCACGGTGTAATTTGATAAATCCTTTAACACTATGGCATGTAGTCCCTCAAATTTCTATCAACCTCATTCAAGAGCCTTATGACAATGCCACGTTTCAGGCGATTCCCGGAGGAAAACTCAGCAAAGTGTTCGAAGTGAAACTAAAGTAAGACAAGGCTGCTTTTATTTGTTTTGATTATCCCCGATGACTTTCCGCATTGTGGTGAACTAGATTATGCGTCAGACTATAATGAATGAGAAGAGAGTTAATACTGTTACGACAATATTCTACAAATATCTTTTTTTCTAATGTTTACTATGTTTGAGAGACATAAAAGTCTAAATTCCTTTTCTGATGCTAAAAATGACCTGCGAAAACTAAATTACGTGTCTACAACTCTAGCCATGCAGCATTCTAGACTTAGGAACTACTGGCTTTATAAATACTGAGAACATTATACAACAACAAAAGACAAAAGACAGGAATACGCTGGACTTATCAGATAACCCCAGATCTGGATTTCGCAGATAATTTATGTTTGATGTCACACAGACTCGAAGCCTTGCAGGAGAAAACCAATAAACTTGCTGAAGAGGCAGCCTAGACGAGACTCCATATGAACTTAGAAAAGATGGAGGTGATTAAGATAACCATCCAATGGTAACAGCGAACAGCACAAATCACCACTAATGGAGGAAACTTGACAGAGGTTACTTCCTTCACTTATCTGGCCAGGAGGCATGGTTTCAACTACAGGCGTAACGGATTAAGATGTCAAAGCTGGCCACAAACGGAAGGGCGAGATACGCCAACCTGAAACCATTTTGGAAATCTTCTGCACAGCACACAGCCAGTGCATATAACAAAATTCGGATTCGCAACACCAATGTGAAGTCAGTGGTTGCTTGTAAACGGGTCAGAAACTTAATCAACGTGTCACGGAAAGGACTGCCAACAAGATAGTGTATAATTTTATCAACAGCTGCCACCTTCGCTGGCTTCATACTGAGGGTCAAACTGCTGGGCAGCAAGAAGTGGCAATAAGAAACTCTGGGAGAATACCGAAAAAGAGTCGGT